TTCATTCTGGCATGACCTCATGGTTCCTACATGACCGCAAACCCCTTGTTGGGAAGTCCTTATCTGAAATATAATATGTTTTGTTAGTACATTTTAAACTTTAATTTACGTTGTATCTTATTTTCTTACATTAATTTACATATTTTCTGTTTGTCTAGGTACAGTAGCAGCCTCACATTCATGTCAGCAGTGCTTAGCTGAAGGTCATGTGTGAGAGTTCACCAATGAATCACGAACAATGAAACATTTTTTGTAAAATATTATATAACCTATTAAAATCACTCTTCTTCAACCTCCACTTTAAAGCTGTTTTATATCAAGCAAATTATAAGTGCAACAAGAGGAGACAAAATGCAAATTCTCACTTTGTAGAAGTCAAAATGCAGTAGTCTGCTAAAAAAAAAGTAGTCTGTCCCAAGAGAGAGTCAACACAGCTGTCACCAGATAAAACTTTGGCTTGGATTGGCACTGAGTGCACGGAGTTTGCTCTAATCCCCCAATGTCAGAAACTTTCCCCAGGCACATATGATAAACCCAGACCCTTTGTCATTGGACTTCTCTCAAAGGACTTTACTAAGAAAAACCTTTTGCTGTAGCCAAGTGTTACATGCACTGAAAAGGTGCAACATTGAGCTGTTAATTTTCATATCACACTGAACAAATGGGTCGAGTGCCCAGTCAAGTAATAACTGGAAAGACATGTGTCAAGTACAATGTTATTTGTGTGCGTGTTGTGGGGAAATACGATACAAAATATCAAGTTAATTTATTACACAAGAGCATTAAATCTGCAAAACCATAAGGAAAAAGATATTACGATTTAGGCAAGACCAGGACAGCTTTTGTGTATGACTGGGCAGTAACAATAAAACTATTGAATATCTACATGAAAGCAGTTAACTCCCCAAACATTCTGATATCATATGGGGTAAGTTGTCACAATGGGAACCTGACTGTTTTAAATGAATATAAAAACAATTACAAAACTATAAATAGAACTGCAAATTTGTAAAAGATGAAACATGTCAAATTATTTTGTTCAACAAAAATTTTATAAATTAATAATCTAAGGCATTCCAACAACAACAACAAAAAAAACATAACTGTGGTGAAAAACTGAAAATGAATTCATGCAAGATGAAGTTTTCCATCCCTCAGTTTTATTCAGTACAGCCAGGAGAGCTCTCGGCAGAGTTCAACATACATGCACAATATTTCTATTTTTACTCATATAAAGAGAACACAAAGAAGTTATTGCTTATTGGTTCACTTATGTTATTTTTCTGTTCATTCTTATCTCTTAAATTTTTTTTATGGCTATCTGTTGACCCTCTCTGTTTGACTATTATGGTACACTTAATCACATACATAATCCTTCACATGTACATTCAGTTCTTATTTTTCGTAAAAATTCTTCCCCCTTCTTAAACAATGCTGAATCGGCATAAGATTAAATGTCACAATTTTTATGCCCATTGGCCCTGTGTCAGCTGGCCACTGAAGATACCTCAGCTTACCCTCAGCACGCCAAAACCGTTGGATCGGATGAGCTTCGGGATCTTCAGTTTCCAGCTACCTCAGGGTTGGAGGATCCCCTGTCTCCTCCTCCAGCCTCCAAGACCCGGACTCCACCTCGGCCCTCCGACCTATTGGCTCCGCCTTGGCTCATTGCTCCCTCGTTTCCACTGTGGCCCATCATCCCACTGGCTCCACCGGGCTTGCTCGTCCCTCCGGCTCCGCCTTGGTCAGTTGTCGGCCATCATTCGCCTCACGATTCCACTCCTTTGGCTTCGCTTTGTCCCTCCATCCTTCTGGCTCTGTCTGGCTCCTCCTTCCCTCCATCTCCACCTTGGTCCTCTGTCGCTCTGGCTCCACCACGGGCTTCCGGATCCCCGCCTCTGCCTCGGTTGCCTGAGCCGCCAGCTCCACCTTGGCCCTCCGGATCCTCTGTGTCACCCTGGATCTGCGGCTCTCCGTCTCCATCCCGGGCTCCTATTCCACCGGCTCTGTCTCTGTCAGTCAGCCCCTTGGTGTTGTCGACTCCATCTCCACCATGGCTCCTTCCACCGTCGACTCCACCGTGGGCTGCTATCTTGGCTGGCCTCTGGTTCCCCACCTGGCTCCTCCTGCTCTGGGCTCCTCCCTGGCTCCTCCATCCATCTACTCAACTCTGGCCTTATGAACTATGCCCCTTTCCCATTGCCTGTCCCTCACCTGCCCCACACCCGCCTCCTGAACCCCCACTCTCCCTCCTCTGTTGGACTGCCTTTGTCAGCACGAAGACGCACCTTTACGGGAGGGGGCGAATTGTCATGTTTCTGTTCTGTTGTGTTTTGGTTTCTCTGCTTTCCAGTTTGCCTGTGTTCCCTCGTTTGTTCCTATGGTTTTTCATTTGTTAATTAGTTCCACGCACCTGTTCTGTTTCTCCCTGATTGTATTCTCCCCTGTATTTAAGTCCTGTGTTTCCCTAAGTTCTTCGTCTACTATTATATTTGGATTTATTTTGCCGAGCATTTGTGACTGTTTGTTTATGGACTTGTGAATATTCTCTTGGATTTATGATTAAAAACTCCTTTTGAACTTTACTCCATCGTGCGCTTGATTATATCAGCTAACACATATCACTCTATATAAATATAAAAATCATAATTAAATTTTATTTTGAGTACTACTTGTGCGCAATGCACATTTTTCAATATTAAGACTAAAATGTGTTTTAATGTCACTATTGATGAGGGTTGTATATGATCTTTGAATAATATTTAACTGCAAGATATTTAAAGTGTACCTAAAGCATACTTGCAATAGTTCCACTTTTAACACAGTTAAATATAGTTCAGCATATATTTAGTTGGACTTCAGCACTACTTTCTAACAATTAAAGTGCATTAAGTACAAACTTAGTTGTTCCAATTTAGCAGACTTTAAGTATACCAGTTAAGTAATATGTAAATAATATGTAAATGTATTTGTAGTATACTTAGCATGAAATAAATGTATTTCAAATACATTTTTATATATTTATTTACACTAGGGAAGGCATCTGTAAAGGATTTTCAATCGCCCAGTTGGCTAAATAGTTAAGTGGCTGGGATTACTATGTAAAATTAGTAAAATTAATCACATTCAATTAACTAATTTGATATAAGCACTTTTTATATGATTTTTTATTTTATCACAATAGATTTTTATTTGTTTTAAACTCATTAATGTAATGCTTTGGTCATATTGTCATCAGATGCGCCCATGTTTTTATACACAAAATGGAATAAAAGATTGGTGCCAAAAAGGCGCAAGTGACTTTAAAAAAATAAAAAAATAAAATAATAATAATAAAATTAGAATTGAAATCAGTACACAAAGTCAGATCAAACTATGGTAATTTTTTGTTTTGGCCGTCCTGTAAAGTTGGTGAAATGTCACTTATGCCCTTCTGGTTCCACATCATCGAAAAATTCCTTGTTCATTAAACACTGGTGTGTCATATTCGTCTTTATTCTATTTTTAATTAATTAAAATGAATCAATAAAATGTATGTAGAGAACATTGAAAAATTACAGAAAAGTCTAGCTGGATTTCAGCATATTGCTGCAAGAACTCTGTCCTGTGATGCAAAAGAACTCGAAGTAGCCTGAAATTAAATGACAAACATTTAGCCTATATTATTATCCTGTGATAAACTTCGTGCTGCTTTCATAAGCAAGTCTACAATGATATAATTGTATAGGCTAACAGAAAATTTAAGCCATACATTTTTATTAAAGATTGTAGGCTATTATATGAAAACAGATTGCACTAGATTAAAAAAAAAAAAAAAAAAAAAAAAAAAAAGAAGAAGAATGACCAAACTTTCTAACACCGGCGTTGCATCACGGCAATCGCTGATTGGTCCGCGCAGTGCATAAATAGGACCTTCCGTGTGCACCGAATCGTTTGGCCTGGTTATTCGGGTCGCTTAGGGCGGAGTTTTTTGAGGCTTGGTTTATTTTTTCTCCAAACGTTATCTGGGTTCGTGACATGCCATGTTCGGCCCTGAAATAACGTGGAACACGAGATGTATGATGTTAATGATAGCATTATGGATAAATTGGGAATTTGTATTATTTACATTAGCCCATTTTATCGACGAAGATGCAAAAATTGATACAAATCGAGCCCATGAGTCTCTCAAAGCACAGCAGTCTCCGACAGACTTGGAGAGGTTGTATTTGAGAACCCATGATGCGCACGACGACGTTTGTAAAGTAGGCCTATATCTCAACACTACATCGTCTTCAAGTGATCCAGCAGAGGACTCAATGATCGAAAACACTTTCGAGTGCCATGCATGTGCGGACCACAGCTTGAATGATAAATGGCGAAATGCGGGCCGAAATAGTCCGAATCCCACACAAATTGATGAATTTGAGGAATTTCCCAGAGAACCTGTGACTTGGCGGTACTTGAGTAAGTTTAGATGTTTACAATACTTAAATATTTTGGTCATTTTAAAATTATCTTTTGTTTGACGAACTTCCCATAAAACCCATTTATTCGTTCATCAAGGACATCAGCAGAATTTGGATGGAGTCATGGTGTCTGACGTCTATCAGCCATTGTTTCATTGCGAGGATGATCTCCTTTGGATAAAGTTTGCCATCACTCAGCACTCGGATCCGCGCTTGATTATCAGTAAGTAGCTACTCGTGAATATTTGCTCGGTGAAAGGAAATCGATTTGAGATTCGTTCGACGAGACTAATGTCACCACAGATACGAAGTAGCTATTAAATGGTTTGTTGTTTGGCTCGCACGAAGTTAATTAGCCTACTTGGGGACCCTGCAACGAATAGCTAATGCAACGCTGTAGAGTTGGTTTTTCATAAATTAGGAGTAACAATTAATGCACTAAAAATAGTGGGTTTATTATACAATAGGCCTATATATTTTAAAATGTAATACCTACTCCAAATTTCTGAAATGTTTATTATCAAAGACTCAAATACTGTGTGTGTGTGTGTGTCTGTTGTTTGATTGTTGGTCAACATGGAAGTTTTTAATATTAATAACAACCCTCTACGCACACCTTGGCAATATAATCGCCACTGGCTAGTAAATTTTTTTGTTTACTCGCCAGACTGATATAGCCTACTATTTTACACACACACACACACGTTTACTTAGCTATCTAAATGGGGACATTACATAGAC